GACACGGCAGCATTAAAAAGGAAATGAGGGAACTTGATAAAAATGTTTGTTCTATTCTATAAAGTGGACTAAAGTAAATATAACCAGCAAGCGTAAACCAGCAAGCAAATTCCATTGTGAAGAACACTTTTTACAACACAACACTCTGCCCCAAAGTCACACACTCATTGCATGTCACACACACCATTTCTGTTATTCCATGGTAATGTTTGGGGAGCCATGCCTGCCAGTTAAAATCTCATTTTCCATTGTACTTATAGTGTAATGTTTAGTAGGTGCCTGGTTTGTGTATATATTTATAGTGACCATTCAGATCACTCCACGGGTTCCAGGCACAAACACAGGGTGTTCTATCACTGTTTTGCCGATAGGTGGCGCGGCACACACCGCTTTGCGCATGCGTGACCGGCCGGCCATGGAATATGACGTCATCGCGCTGTACGCGAGGACCGGTGTTTCCGTGCACGAGTAATAGACAAGACAGGTATTTGATGTTAGCGGCCATACAGTGACATAAAGGGACACACCTCGGCGGCACTCACAGGGCAATGTCTAACAGCTAGTATCAAACATGTCCCCCTTAATGTTCCTTTAATGACCCTTCAGGTTGTCATTATCTGGGTTTAACCCCCTTGGACACCCTCATTGTCTGACCATATTACAGTATACAGCAAGCAGCCATGCATTGCTCACTGCCCTGTGGGTAATTCTTTATCTCAGGGTAGAGCAAGCCCTATGGCTGTTAATGACAGTTCAGTCCATGTTTCTGGGTTGTTTCCTGTTAATACTTGTCATCTATTTTGGTCTCTTCTTTCCCCTGATCCTATACATGGAGGAGTCCAGAGTTTTTCGTGTTACACATTATTAAAAGCAATTTTATACCTTCTGTATCTCACAAGAGTTCACACAGTAAGAGATGACCTTGGTGCATGGCACCGTAGACGCCGCACGTCTATGGCATTGTGTGCTGGGCGCCATCTTGGACCGGTCGCCGCTCTACTGAAGCTATTGAAGAACACTTGGAAAGTCCATCTCACAAAAGGTAAGTGAAGGACTTGGGGCACTTATAGTCCTTAATACCCCTACCCCTTAATACCCTTAATCCTTAATACCCCTACCCCAGCACACTATATGTATTAACACTGTGTGTGTAGGAGTAAGGGTATTAAGGACTATGTGTGCTGGGGTAGGGGTATTAAGGACTAGGGGTAGGGGTATTAAGGTCTATAAGTGCCCCAAGTCCTTCACTTACCTTTTGTGAGATGGACTTTCCAAGGGTTCTTCAATAGCTTCAGTAGAGCGGCGACCGGTCCAAGATGGCGCCTACATCCCTTGACGCTCAGCACGCAATGCGGCGTCTAGGTATTCTATGTCTATGCATGGCACACTGACCTTATGAATCTGCTACTTCTTGTAGTTCAGTGTGTCATGTGACATTAGTCACATAATCTGGTGATGGGTGGCATAATTGAGAATGATGGTATATAGCTACTTTGGTCTTGTGTACCATGCTGTCGATTAATTAATTTGCTTGCCCAAACTTAATGACAGTTGTAGATAACATAGTCAGGGTTATTTTCAACATAGTGATTTGCGCGCCATTTCCTTCTTACCTGGGTCCCCACAGGATGTTAAGGTCTCCTAATGGCCAGCGATGTGCATCCGGTTATACAGAGCTACAGTAGCTGGATGCCAATCCTGTTGGCCATTCATTGGTTGAGAGCATCAGCTGGGCGTTCTCAGCCAAAGAACGAAACTCTGTGCACAGAAATATACACAGAATTGACATGGAAGTTCCAGGCTGTCTAGTGACACACCAATGGCAATGACGGACATGGAGAGGGTTAACTTATTTCATAGCAAAATGCTGCACATACAGACTCTAGGCACCGTGACAACTTCAAAACACTGACGTGGTCCTGACAGTTGCAGTAACCCTTAAAGTCAAATGCAAAAGAATAATAAGCGCTCTCTTCTCAGGGGTGAGCTGCAGTTCACCAACAAGGTGTTCCTCTACCTTGTGATAAATGGACAGATAAAATAGAAAGGTGAACAGCGCTAAAAATCAGAAAATGTACATACGTTTTGTAGAAATACTGGCCAGCAGAGTAACTTTAAAAAAGAGAGAAACAAAAATACAAATAATGGTACAGTATGTATGAACGATATAATTCCACAAGAACAAAGGTGTTATATTCACACTCACACTTTGAGGAGCTATATCAGCTCGGTGTTAAGAGCCTGGACGGAATAATCCCCGTCTATGGATTTCTTGAGGTTCAAGACCGTTGGTGAATTTATAGGTGTAAATATTCGTTACATGAAAAACAAGAGTAAAATACACCACATGGTATAGTACGTAAATATAAAATATTGAAAAAAAAAAAAAGTCCAAAATTCTTCCTCACTTGACGCGTTTCGCCGAAGCTTTTCTCAAAAGTGAATCATTCACGTTTGAGAAAGCTTCGGCGAAACGCGTCAAGTGAGGAAGAATTTTGGACTTTTATACAGGATTGGTTTTATAGTTTATTATTCACTTTTCACTTATTGTATTAAAGTATATATATTTTTTAAACTATCCAGTCATTCCTTTTGTCCTCCTTCCTATCCAATACTGCTTTGCTGCTATACCTGGGTCCACTATATCCCAAGGTGGGGATTATTCCACCTGAAATTCTCCAAACTAGAGCAGGTCGTTGCTCTAGTATATGTAAGTAGGATCATCCACTTTTTTTTTCCAATATTTTATATTTACGTACTATACCATGTGGTGTATTTTACTCTTGTTTTTCATGTAACGAATATTTACACCTATAAATTCACCAACGGTCTTGAACCTCAAGAAATCCATAGACGGGGATTATTCCGTCCAGGCTCTTAACACCGAGCTGATATAGCTCCTCAAAGTGTGAGTGTGAATATAACACCTTTGTTCTTGTGGAATTATATCGTTCATACATACTGTACCATTATTTGTATTTTTGTTTCTCTCTTTTTTTAAGTTACTCTGCTGGCCAGTATTTCTACAAAACGTATGTACATTTTCAGATTTTTAGCGCTGTTCACCTTTCTATTTTATCTTAACCAACCCTTAAAGTCAATTTAGATATGAGTTCAAAGTAGCTGAAATGAAAACATAGCTGACTTGGAAAATTTACAAAGAATATAAATAGTGTGCAGCGCAAGCAAACAGTTCACACCATAAATAGGATTTAGTGCGTACTTGGTTAGTGTATAACCAAAATAACATAAGGATAAATACCCAAATATTGGATGAATCGGTTGGTAGTATACCTATATATAGACAAAAAAAGAAAGAGACACGCTCATAGCGTAATACTGAAATCTTTAAAAAGTAGAAAAATCTTCTGTATGGTCAGACTCACATTTATTTGAGCCTGTTTATAAGGAAAACTGGCTCAGGTAATATAGCCTTAAAGATGTAGTCTTGAAGATATCCTCATACAATGAAGCTTGATCCTCAAAATAAGGTACCGCATAGGCACACCGGTTAGAATTAAAAGTATCAACATTTAATAAAAAATATATAACAATGTGCTTATTGTATTTACTGGAGAACGGCATTACTACATATGAATGTAAGATTTTATATATTTTTTAATAAATGTTGATACTTTTAATTCTAACCGGTGTGCCTATCCTGTACCTTATTTTGAGGATCAAGCTTCATTGTATGAGGATATCTTCAAGACTACATCTTTAAAGCTATATTACCTGAGACAGTTTTCCTTGTAAACAGGATCAAATAAATGTGAGTCTGACCATACAGAAGATTTTTCCACTTTTTAAAGATTTCAGTATTACGCTATGAGCGTGTCTCTTTCTTTTTTTGTCCATATATAGGTTTACTACCAACCGATTCCTCCAATATTTGGGTAATTATCCTTATGTTATTTTGGTTGTACACTAACCTAGTACGCACTAAATCCTATTTATGGTGTGAACTCTTTGCTTGCGCTGCACACTATTTATATTCTTTGTATATCTTTATCCCTGTGGGATTTTTGTGATTATTCACACTTGTGTGTTCCAGCTGCATACACTTAGCGCCACGGATTGTACTTTTTTCCTTTGTCTGGACTTGGAAAATTTGTCTAGTTTGGGTATTTAGTCATAAAAGTTGGAATTCTTAACAACCCATACTTGAGAGGTTTATTCACTAAACTTTGATTTGTAGCAAACTGAAGTCTGATCGGCAGAATGTAGGCTAAATTGCAATGCTTTGACTATAGCTGGGTTGCAGAATTTACCTAAATCAGTTTTTTTTGGGGTATCAGTTTGCTATCATTTTGAATTTATTAAAAGATTTTCTGTACACTGTCATGTACCTAGCAGTTTATTTATTACAGAATGAGAGATAAATGGAAAATTTAAAATGAACACTCTAAACATCATACCATGAGAAGAAGGGTTTGACAGGTTACCTAAGTCCTGCTCGGCTTCAGTGGTTCCAGCCCTTGCTTCTGTGTATTAGAATCTGGTTAGCGCCAATGTGGTAAGAAGGGTTGTGCAGGGCTGCTCATTGGCTGTGCTTTGCTCAGAGGAGGCACATGGCTTCTCCTGTCTGGGTAACCCAAGTAAGTTGCTGTCCTTATCTAGGAGGATTCCAGGGCGCTACTGGCACCATAACTACTGCTTGGGCTTTAGTAGTTATAGTGCATGGAGTTTTCGCATAATGATGTGAGATATGATGTACTATATGTAAAACAAAAATGTATTTAGGTGCCTATTTCACGACCTGAAAACTGTAAGATAAAATATACCATTTAATCTCTAAATTTTTTATCTCCATATTTCTATAAAGGACGGGCAAAAACCTTATTTTCATTTTTAGCTTTACATTACTTTTTTTTGCAATAATTCATGTCTTGAACAGCAGTTGATTCGCAACATTACTGTAACTATGTATCCTGTGTTTAAATAAATGCTATGCTATTTTTAAAAAAAAAATTTTTTTTTTTTTTTTTGTGAATCATTTCATATTATGTTTTTACTACCTACTGTGTAAAAACACAGCTAATTACTTTTTTATTTTCTTCTATGTTAGCCCAAAATGTTGGTTCAGTACAAGATAAGAAGTGTACGCCTAATGTCTGTATGTCGGTTGGCAGCAGCAACATTTGGAAGCTCTACAAAACAAGGTGTTATCCTGCACTCTCTCTCTAATAATGTTTACGAAAACCTAGCTGTGGAAGACTGGATACATGATCACATGAACTTAGAGGAGAAGAATGTATTATTTTTGTGGAGAAATTCACCTTCTGTGGTTATTGGCAGGCACCAGAATCCCTGGAAAGAATGCAATCTCCATCTAATGAGAAAAGAAGGAATCTGCTTGGCAAGGAGAAGGAGTGGTGGTGGGACAGTTTATCATGACCTCGGAAACATAAATTTAACATTCTTCACAACAAGGAAAAAGTATGATAGAGTAGAGAATCTCAACTTGGTTATTAGGGCTCTTAAATCCTTGCAACCTCTTTTGAATGTACAAGCAACACCTAGGTATGACCTATTTTTAGATGAAAAATTTAAAATTTCTGGTACTGCAGCAAAGCTTGGAAGGAATGTTGCTTATCATCACTGTACACTCTTATGTAGTGCAAATAGCTCTATGTTGCCATTTGTTCTACAAAGCCCTTACAGAGGCATTGAGAGTAATGCTACTGCAAGTGTGCCATCACTTGTCAGAAACCTATCTCAGGCAGACTCTACTTTGACCTGTGAAGCTGTGATGGATGCTGTGTCTTCAGAGTATTCTGCTCTTTATGACAATAAACCCAGTGTTCAGCATATAGATCCAAGCAATGACACATTATTTTCTGGTATATCTCAGAAGAAGAGAGAGCTATCCACTTGGGAATGGGTTTATGGAAAAACACCAAAATTTGGACTTGCAACCTCTTTTCAGATTATGTACAAGCAGTCCTTTCTGAATGTCAATCTAACAATGGAAATAAAAAATGGTTACATAGAGACTTGCTTCATAGAGTTTCCTGATTTTTGGCTTCCAGAAGAATTGTCTGATGAACTTCAAAATGGTTTAGTGGGCAATAAGTTTTGCCCCAAAGAAACTGCATTTCTGTTAAGTACTTTACTAAGAACATGTTCTCAAGATGAGGACGTTTCCACAAAATGGAACTTGTTGTGTGAAAAAATTATGTCAATAATGTGACCATATATAAATGCAAAAAATTGTACTATGTGTGAGATTGGATACTAACTTCATATTGAAAATATATTTATTTTGTGCTTTGCTGTGTTTTTATCATATGAATTGTAAAATATTTACAGTGAACTTTTTCTTTTGAAAATAACTAACCCCTTAATACATGGGGTTAGTTGACAGTTTTTTTTTATTTTAGCTTTTTAAAAAACTTTATTCATGGTTTTGATTTTCTTTTGGGGGGAGGCACTGTCTTGACTGAAGCAGGTTTGAAATTTTGGCAATGTGTTCAGTGGAAATGACACAATATATTAGATTGTGTGTGTGTGTGTATATTTTTTAACTGAATCCGTATATTAGACTTGGGCATTCGTATTCAGAAAAATTGATTTTCTAATGAAAATCTTAATTTTTGTCCATTCGTCCGAATAACTAATAGAGAGACGAACAAAATGACTGACCTAATTGGCGCCCATTCATTATTTCGCCCTATTTTCATAAAATCTGAAGGAAGTGACCTAAACCAACAAGTGGGTACCAAAGGTATGTGCCATTCATTCATTTGGAGTTGTTGTTAGGCATTTTGAATTAACTGTCTGTTAATGTATGTATTGCAAACTGCCGAACAAGCAATCTCAATGCATGGATGTTTCTATGTTTGTTGTTCATTTGTTTGTTCTGTTCACGCTCATATATTTTATAAGTAAAGGTATGTTGAGAGTGAGCGGAACGACCGATCGCGGAACGAACGAACGAACGAACGAGTCATTCGTGTATTCAGATGAACCATTCCGCTTTTTTCAATACATTGCTTTAGCATATGGACAACATGGGGATGGGAGAGTGAACTTATTCGCCTCAATTCGTTTATTTATTAATTTGGATGCCTTGTTTGAAACAAAGAGGAGGGGTATGGGAGTGAGCTGATTATCATTTGTCCAATTAGCTCACTCCTGTGACATGATGCAGTAGGGGCTTATCCAATGGTGCGTGCTTTAGCATGGGTTAAAAATAATTAACCAAACAGCTGCATAAAAGCAGGCAGGGGATTTTTCTCTGCCCTTCTTTGACTAAGCTTTGGTGGTGACACACTGTGCTTCTGGGCTGTGCTAGCTTCATTGCTTATTAGAGATTTTCTGTGAGTCTTGGTGTGCCTGCCTTTTCTCACAACTTGTTAAATTTGATAGACTATTCCCAATAATTTGTTTTTCATTTTTGTGCTTTCTGAGAGCTGTGCACTGCTGTGCTGCTGACTGCCAGTTCCTGCCTTCCCTACATGCTTACTGCCTACAGCAACCAGATTTTACAGCTATTCTGCTTAAAAATAATTAATTAGCATAAATTGATTTAAAATTTAGAGTTGGTAGAATCATTCAAGACCTTTAGCTTAGTGGGCACGCGGGCTTCTGCGCTGGGGGTAGACTAGATTAGTTTGTTTTCCTAACCCTAGTAGAAAATTAATATAGTCTAGCTGTTAGGTTTTTTTAAATTTAAACTAGCCTTTTAAATTAAAACTAACAAAGTCATACTAGTTGATTTGTTAGGCATTCATCTCATAGAGGTGCTGCAGTGTTTCATTCTGGGTGCTGATAGAGAGAGAGAGTTCCTTTTTGGTCAGTCTCAGCTAAGTGTGTGTGACTATGTTTTAACTTTTTAACTGAATCCATACTCCAGTCCACACACATAGGTAGTTTAATCAGTGCCAGTAAAATTACCACTGCTAGCACAGAGTCTCAGTGACTGAACTGATTTTTGTGTCATTCACTCACTCACTGGCTGGGTGTGCTTGCTTTCCAGGCAGTCGGTGTAAGAGTTAAAGTATCACTATAGGGTAAGAAACACAAACATGTATCCCTGACCCTATAGTGAAAACCCACCATTTAGGTGGCTTGCCCCCCCCTGCCCTCCTTAGCCCCCTCAGAATGGGTTAAAACTCCCCTTACTTACAGCTCTCCACGTGTCTGCTGGTGCTGGCCACGCCCCCTTGGTGACCATCAAAATGGCAGATTTTTAGCCAATCGGATTGGCAAAAATCTGCAAGGGGGCGGGGCCAAACACAGTTTGGGCCAATCAGCACTTCCTCTTAGAGATGCATTGAATCACTGCATGTCTATGAGGAAAATTCAGCGTCCCCATGCAGAGCGTGGGGACGCTGAACGGCAGGGCTGCCTACTGTGCAGCACTGAGCCAGGAAACACCTCCAGTGGCCACTTGGAGGTGTCCCTAGGGGCAATGTAAACACTGCGTTTTCTCTGAACAGGCAGTGTTTGCATACAAATGCCTGAAGGGATCTATTATACTCACCAGAACAACTACATTAAACTGTAGTTGTTCTGGTGACTATAGACATTTTCTTTTTAATGTCAATTAATGAAATTTTTTTAAATTGAGTTAATAAAATTATTTTCAATTTACAATATCTAATATCTTTTGTAGTACAGTTTCTTTGTGCTTTGTTAGGACAGAAAACACTAGTCAAATAGCCTAGTGTTGTTTTAAATATTTCCCACTAAAAGTGTCTATTTCTTTTTTTTTGCTCCCATCAGCATCAGCAGAGAAATGTCAACTGATTTTTCTAGTTCAGTTAGTGTGTTTTTTTGTTGTTGTTGTTTTTTTTACAGCAATCAGTGAAACTAACTAGTTGCTGTTTATTTTGTTTACTTTAGTTCATGACAAATTGACTATGTGACTGTACTAAGCTAAGCTTCAGAGTAGCTGTAGTACATCTTTTTTTTTTTTTATTAGCAGAAGTTGTAGTATTTTTCTAATTTTAACAATAGTATATAAATTCCAGTTAAACAATTTTTAAAAACATTTGAAAATTTTCTAATAATTCATTTTTTAATAGTCTAGCCCGTGTCTCTGTTTGCAATAGTCGTGCTGGGAGTACTTATTGGCAAACTGCTCATGGTAGACGGTGCAGTTTTGAATAGTCTCTCAGAAAACACTGAAGTGAATAAATCTGCCTCAGTACTAGTCTCTATTTTTTTAAATACATTTTTAAAACTGTGTTGATCTATATATCAGCATGGTTCAAAACTTTAAATCATATGTTTTCAATTTACAAAAAAATAAAGTTTAGTTTCAAAACACTATGCTTTACTTTTTTCATTATATTTCCTCATTTTCTTAACCCCTTAAGGACCAAACTTCTGGAATAAAAGGGAATCATGACATGTCACACATGTCATGTGTCCTTAAGGGGTTAAACTTACACTAGCTTTTATCTACTAGTAAAATTAGGGAGGTTCAGTCAGCCACCACCACCGTCACAGGTAGTAGTTTGATTATGCAACCTTTGCGTCAGCTTAGGCGGATTAAGTAGTTCTGCTGCTATGTCAAACTCACCGCCTAGGAGGCCAAGCTCTTTGTCTTGTTTTTCAGGCCCGTTGGTGCAAGATCCTGGTCAAGGAAAGGCACCAATAGCAGGCATTAGTGCAGCAAAACCCAGCACCTCCAGTATTTTCTATGGTAAACAGAAACCAGCAGGGCTGTTTATGGTGAGCACTGTGGCTAGTACTACTACTAGTAATAGTAGCACAATGAGTAAAACAAAAGGGTGTTTTGCTCCAAGCGTCTTTCTCTACCACAAGAAGCACCCTGTGAGATGCCAGTCAGAGCAAGTTTGGCACAAAGTTTAGCAGCAGGACTTGGAGTCGTGTTTCTAAGCAGTGTCCTTCTTGTACACGGAGGCTGTTTCCTGATCCACCTTCCAACACCACCACCACTAGTGCTGCGCCTGCTTCTCTCCAATGTTCCATTTCCTCTATCTGACCACCATCTGCTGTCTATTGACATCCGCATACCCTGTACCGAAAATACACCACCCTCACCACATCAGTCTTGCAGAAACCTCCATTGTCTTGACCTACACGAATTCTCCAGCAACCTCCAAAGTCTCCTTTCACCCATCTCAAATCTCACCTGCCCTAACACTGCAACCTCCCTCTACAACTCCAATTTCTCCTCTCAAGTAGACACCATGCCACCTCCTACACTTCAATGCACTAAGCACCCCCAATTACAACCCTGGCACACCAAGCTGACCCGATATTACCAAAAATGTTCCAGAACTGCTGAACGCTGCTGGAGAAAATCTCACTCTGCGTCTGACTGTCTCCACTACATATTTATGCTGCGCTCCTACAGTCTGGCTCTTTCCTCTTCAAAAGAAAACTTCTTCAATACACTCATAACCACACTCTCCCGCTAGCCCAAATGACTGTTTCATGCTTTTAACTCTCTTCTGTGCCCTGTCGTGCCTCCTTCCAACTTGACCGCCTCGAACTTTGCAACTCACTTCACTGAGAAGATTTCTACAATCAGGGAAGAGATCTCTCATCTCTCTCCATCCACTACTAACTTTTCACCTAACTACACTCCCTCAGCTGTCCTATGTTCATTTGCACCCACTAAAGCAGAAGAGGTTTCTGCTCTGCTCCGTGCCCCACCACCTCTTCCCTCGATCCTATTCCCTCGTATCTCATCTGCACTTTGTCTCTTTCTCTTGCTCTGCCTCTCACTAAAATTTTCAATCTCTCCCTCTCCTCTGGCACATTTCCTCTACCCTTCAAACATGCAACCATAACCCTGATTCTGAAAAAGCCTAACCTTGTCCCTAATTCCCAGTTAAACGACCGCCCTTTCTCACTACTGCCATTTGTTTCCAAGATGCTTGACCAAGTTGTGTATGTGAGATTGACAAACTTCCTTGAGTCCAGAATCTCTGCTTGAGCCGCTTCAATCTGGATTCCGCGATCGTCACTCTGTTGAAACAGCTGTTCCCAAAGTATCCAATGATCTTATCACTGCAAAATCCCATGGCCACTACCTAATTCTCAACCTTTCTGCTGCTTTTGGCACTGTTGATCATCAACAGCTTCTTCTCATCCTCCATAATCTCGGTCTACGAGATACCACTCTCTCCTGGTACTCTCCCAGCGCTCATTCAGTGTTTCTTTCTCTGGCTCTGCCTCTACTTTACTCCAATCCCTCACTGTTGGTGTTCCCCATGGGTCTGTCCTTGGTCCCCAATTGATCTAAATCTACACTGCTTCCCTTCGTAAACTCATCAACTCCTTTGGCTTCCAGTATCATATCTATGTGGATGACACACAAATCTGTCCTGCCCTGATTTCTCACCACCCCTCTTGACTCGTGTCTTTGAATGCCTCTCTGCTATTTCCAACTAGATGGCTGCTCATTTCCTTTAACTGAACTTGTGCAAAATAGAACTTCTGGTCTTCCCTCCCTCAAGTGTTGCTACTCCCTAGTCTGTGTCCCTCCAAGTCAATGGCGCTACCATCCGCTCTACCGCTAAGGCTCGCTCCTCTTTGACTCCAACCTCTCCTTCACCCCTCATGTCCAATCAATCGCCAAATCCTGCTGCTTCCGTCTAAAAAATATTGCACAAATCCGACCCTATTTAACGCCTGATTCGGCAAAAGTGCTTTTCCATGCCGCTCTCGCCTTGACTACTGTAATCGGCTTCTCAGTGGTCTTACGTGTTCCCAACTTGCCCCGTTACAGTCTTTAATGAATGTGGCGATGAGCTCATCTTCCTGACCGCCCACACCTCCCATGCCTCCCCCTTTTGTCAGTCTCTACATTGGCTTCCCGTAAGATATAGGACTTAATTTAAGTTCCTGATACTTGCTTACAAATCTCTACACAATACTGCTCCAACCTACTTATCCTCACTTATACACAAATATGTCCCATCCAGGCCCCTACGCTCTGCCTGAGACCTACGTCTAACCTCTGTTCATACTCCTACCTCTAATGCTCACCTTAAAGAATTCTCTAGTGCTGCACCGCTCCTATGGAACGCCCTTCTCTTCTCTGTTAGACTTTCACCCACTCTCCACTCCTTCACAGAATCTTTGAAAACTTACTTCTTTAGAAAAGCATATCAATTAAACTGTGAACAGCTTTCCCTCCCTGCACCCCGATTCCTCTCCTGAAACTGTCATCAAAACAAAACACTAAGCCCTCAATGAACACTATCCTAGCAATCTACTTTTCTACCCTACCTTTACCTTTTCTGTCACATTATCCCACTCCGTCTAGCATGTAAGCTCATTTAGAAGGACCATCAATCCCTCTGTTACTGTGTGTCCAACTTGTCTGGTTACAAATACGTGTCTGTTAGTCCACCCATTGTACAGCGCTACGGAACTTGGTGCCGCTTTATAAATAGTAATAATAAGAGAAGATAAGAAACAAAAGAGGGAATGACATTTAAAAGCGGTTAAGAGAAACACAGGTGACAATTGCCTTAAAAAAAATAAAAAAATGTTTTGCGGTGGGGGCTGCAAATTTGATCTTTATCCGGTGTAGTCAACCGTCCTGTCCCGGGTTGCAAACACATAGCAAATGTGACAATAATGCCTCTGTTACACTCATGGAATGTTATCTGCAATTTTCCATAGTAAATCCATACATTCTGAGTTACACAACACTTTTTCCTCATTCTTCGCATATGTTTTCTAGCCAACCGTCCTGGCCCGGGTTGCAAAACACATAGCAAATGTGACAATAATGCCTCTGTTACACTCATGGAATGTTATCTGCAATTTTCCATAGTAAATCCATACATTCTGAGTTACACAACACTTTTTCCTCATTCTTCGCATATGTTTTCTATTTACATTTAACATTGAGATTGACACTGTGACAGAAGTGAGAGTTAGGGCTTGATTGAAAGGAGAAGGTGGCTTGGGGAGGGGGAAAGTAAAGCAGAAAGAGTAGTTTTTAAAAAGAGAAAATCAAACAGGACTGGATAAACCAGTTACAAAGGTACAACAGGGACAAGGAAGTATACATGGGGACCATCCATACCATCACACATGAATGTCAGGCAGAGACTGTGGGGAGCAGTATCCATGACTTACGAATTGCCAGATGCAGGGAGGGAGTGTGAACCCTTCCATCTGGATAAAAGAAATCCATGGGAGAATGGAGGAGTCAGAATCTGATCTACTGCCACCAATAAACACAATGGAAATGTAATGGGTGCATTCAGGGACGAATTAACCGCAAGGCAAACAAGGCATTTGCCTTGGGCAGCATTTTCCAGGAGGCGTAAAAAAGCCGCCCCCAAATGCTCAGGGCAAATGTCCAGGCAGGCGGGCGGCTAGGTAAAAATCCTTGCGGGCGGCGCTGGAGAGGGAGCACTTTCCCCTGAGCTCTCTGCTCAGCTCCCTCGCGTCATATTCCGGCTCCCGGCATCACTCTGCGGCACGCGAGGGAGCTGAGCAGAGAGCTGAGGGGAAAATGCTCCCTCGCTAGCTCTGCCCAGCAGCCAAGCAGCCACTGGACACCAAGGGAAAGGGAGAACCCCCCCTCCAGCATTCCCAAAGGTAAGGAGGCTGTGGGGGGTTGAATAAAAAAAAACAAAAAAAAACACAAGTGAGTGTTAGTGAGTGCGTATCTGTTAGTGTGTGTGTGTGTGTGTATGTCAGGGAGAGTGTATCTCAGGGAGTGTGTTACTATGTGTGTGTCTGTTAGTGAGAGTGTATGTCTGTTAGCTAGTGTATGCGTGTTTGTCAGTGAATGTTTGTGTATTTAGAAGGTGGGGGAGGGGTAGGAAGGGTGCGGGGGGTTGGGGGGGTGCCTGAGTTTTGTCCTGCCTAAGGCAGCACAAAACCAGGATACACCACTGGGTACACTAACAATAAATATGATTGATAAGCAGAAAGCGTGAGTCCTCAGCATCAATTTTCTCCTTTCAGCAGACAAGCCCCATGAGGGCCAAAAAGAAAAGTAGAAAAATGTTAGGACAATGCTTAGTTACTAGAGAATCTAAATGTTGTTATATTTGCAAATGTGGTCCCAATTTGTATTCTAGTAAAGTTTTACACTTCTCACACCTCAGCCTTTTCATTTTTTTTCACCTTTTATATTTTTCATTTTTTTTATGTTTTAGATACTATCTCCGATCATCCACATGTATATATACTCGCTATTGTCTAGGATACATAGATAAATATGTTTTCCTTAAAAGGAAAGTGTGGTAGGAAAGCGCAATATGGGCATGTGATAGGATGATTGTCACTATTATATTGGTATCTTCCACAAATAAAATCACTATTAATTATGTAAAAAAGATTTATGAAAATACATACATCTATTTGATATATTATCACAGTGTAAAAAAAGATTGAATACATTAAGTCTATGCATAAAGATAAAAAGTTTAACTCCTTAAGGATCAAACTTCTGGAATAAAAGGGAATCATGACATGTCACACGTGTGTCCTTAAGGGGTTAAAAACATTTTGGTGTTATGGTAGAAAGCCATGTTTTATTTATTTATTATCTATTAATTATTTTTTATTCTTTATTTTAGCTAATTAAAATTAAGGATAAAACAGTTTATTTGTTATGCAATACATATGTTTAACAGCCCTCTCATTTAAAAGGTTTGGGGGTCGCTTCCTCTGGCGACCACTGGGGGGAGACTGGGATGTTATGTATATCTTCCCCACTTTGCAACGCACGCCCATGATAGATTAGTGCGAAATGGAAAATTAGCGGAACACGTCACAAACGTGGAAGAAATCAAGACGGACCACGAAAGAATCTCCTCACCGGCGGTAAAGATCAACACATGTGGAGAAGATCCATCAACACATGAGGAGCCAAGTGAGAGAAGACACCCACCATCACACCAATGAACTTTAAAGGACCACTATAGTGCCAGGAAAACATAGTGCTGGGGAGAGGAAAGGGGTAAAAACTTACCTTTTTCCAGCGCTTGGCGGGGAGCTCTCCTCCTCCGATCCTCCCATTCGGCTGAATGCGCATGCGCAGCAAGAGCTGCGCGCGCATTCAGCCGGTCGCATAGGAAAGCCTTTACAATGCTTTCCTATGGACGCTTGCGTGCTTTCACTGTGATTTTCACAGTGAGAATCATGCAAGCTCCTCTAGCGGCTGTCAATGAGACAGCCGCTAGAGGAATTGGAGGAAGGATTAACCCATTTATAAACATAGCAATTTCTCTGAAACTGCTATGTTTATAAAAAAATTGGGTTAACCCTAGCTGGACCTGGCACCCAGACCACTTCATTAAGCTGAAGTGGTCTGGGTGCCTAGAGTGGTCCTTTAAGGGACTAGCCCTATTTAAAGATGACTGAGGGAAGAGTGTTTTCAGATTGCCTTTTGGGTTTTGATTTGTCTAATACTATTATTGTTTTATGTGATTTGGTCCCTGAGGAAGTTCTTTGTAAGAATGAAACGCGTAGGACCTGTGGACTTTTCTTATATATTTGTTTTATGTGTTTTATACCTTTTATACTTCATATGTGAATAAATACTAGTTTTGGATTATCCTTTTGGCTGGAGATTTCTGAATCACCATACTGGCCCAGGTATCCAACGGCTATCACCTAAGGAGGAACCCAAGCCCCCTATTTACATCGAGGGTGGCACCTATAAAACGCTCTTACCATCTGAAATTAGTGAGTGCAATATAACATCAGATTGTATATTATTTTCAGACAATAATGTGCTATGTTTTATCCTTTATTTTAGGTACACTAGCAGGATCCCTAAACTACCTATCTTTTATATACCAGTATGTGGAATAAAAAGAGAGAACGTAATATAGTGTAGTATATTATAAATTCTACTTGAATGTGAAGAAACTAATTGCACTTACAATCTCTGTCTGTGGATATGGTGGTAATCCTTGTGCTTGTTTGCAGATGTTATTCCCAGTGTTCTTAGTTGTTGTGCCGCAGTCTGGCAGTCAGATGTCCTCAGTATACAGGAGAGGGAATAAAAATTGTGTATAGTGCTCTCTGTTTGTATTGAACAGTGTAAAAGAAAATAAAAAGAGAAAATACTCACAAACGGAGAGCAAATATAGGTATTACTCGATCCCAGTGGGCCTAGGTGGTTTGATCACCACCAAGGATATCGATGCATGAGTCCTCTGGTTAAAAACTTCAAAGATAGGTCTGGAATCTCCAAGTGGTATAAAATAATTTACTTTATTTGAAGATAACAAATAAAACCAAATATAACATAAAAGGATTTATAATACACTAACGTGTTTTACCTACAAAAAGGCTTTCTCAAAGTGTTAGTGTATGGGACCTATCTTGTTTAAATAGCTTTAAAACAGTCGGGTGGTGTAATCAGCCTTCTGACCAAATTTTTGTTAAAACTTTTTTTTCTGTTTGCCTTTGTTATATGTCTGTCTTTGAATATAGAAACAACTTTAGTATTGATTTGACACCATTATACCTCATGATCTCGAATGCAAAGCCGTAAAAAGGATTTTAGAAAAAGAGAAAAACATACTTCTAACTTTAATCAATTTTATTTTAGAGGACATGGACATCATTTAAAAGTATAATTCCTTTTGGTTTTATGATTCCTTTTACCTTCAACAGAAGGGCGTTGCCATGGGGACGAAGGTAGCACCTAGCTATGCTAATCTTTTCATGGTCGACTGGGAGGACACTTTTATCTGGTCTAATCCTAACTGGAGTTCTAATATTATTCTGTACCGCAGGTATATTGATGACCTGTTTTTTTTTTTTTTTGTTTATCTGGGAAGGCACCAACGTTGATCGTAACCACTTTTTATGTTTCTTAAACAATAATGATAGGGGCATTGAACTAAACACAGACATCAGTGCTAACAAACTTCAATTTTTAGATTTAGATATCTATATTGAAAACAATCAGCTGTTCACAAAAACATTCTTTAAAAAAGGTTTACACAAATACATTCATTGATTCCAGCAGCTGCCACTTTCCCCCCGTGGCTAAAAAGTATACCAAAGAGCCAATTTATAAGACTAAAACGCAACTGCATTAATAACGAGGTATTTAAGGCACATGCTCATGACCTTAACCCCCTAAGGACACATGACACGTGTGACATATCATGATTCCCTTTTATTCCAGAAGTTTGGTCCTTAAGGGGTTAAAGAAAAACGAAAAGAGAAAAACTACGATGATAAAAAAACATAAACACTCTAATTGAGGAATTAGTTAAAGTCGACAGAAACCAATTTCTACAATACTACAACACTAACAAAGAAAAATAAATCACCCTCCCAATTGTGCTAGACTATAAAATTAAAAGTTTTAAAATTAAAACAATTATTAGAAAACACTGGAACATCCGTAAAGGAAGACGAAATTCTAAAAAATATCCTACCTGAAAAACCTAAAATAGTATTTAGAGGGTTATCCCAATCTAAAAAGGTGTCTTACCAAGAACTACACCAAAAAAAAAAACTTCAAACATACTTTTTTTTTTATATATTGATATCAAAATACATGTAGAACGAAATAATATATATCTATATACATGAGTATATGCGCTCTGGCCTAGATCCCCATGTGCATTTGAACAAAAAAGGAGGCTCTTTAGTTCTATTCTAAATAGCCATTTGAATATGTAAGCTCACCAGCCACGTCAAGGCAAGCCTCAATAGGTGAGTTCCTACACTAGCCATTAGATACGCTGATATCAGCCAAGAGTCTCCAATAAGACAGGAAGGGGTATTTTATAAACCCTTTAACCCTTTATAGGGCTTCTGCACATACAATACACTTTGCTGATATCAGACAAAAGTGAGACAGAAAGGGGTGTTTTATAAACCCTTTAACATGTAACCCTTTATAGGGCTTCTACACATTCAATAAACTTTGCTGGTATCAGACAAAGTATA